ATCTCAGCACTTTGGGAGGCCAAAGTAGGAGGTCAGGAGTTTGTGACCACCCTGGGCAGCATAGCAATACCTCATCTCTACAAAAATAAATGAATGAATAAAAACATACATACATACACACATGCATAAATAGCAGGGTATGGTGGTGCATGTCTGTAGTCCCAGCTCCTTAGGAGGCTGAGGTGGGGGGAATTGCTTGAGCTCAGGAGTTCAAGGCTGCAGTGAGCCATGCTTGTAGAACCACACTCCAGCCTGGGCAATAGAGCAAGACCCTGTCTCTAAAAAACAAAAGACAAAAACAACAGAAATGAAGCCTTATATATTTTTGTGGCATTAAACCCAGTAGAGATTTCAACTAGTCTCTAATTATTGATTTTTCTCCCTGATTTAAAACCATATATACTGCAGAAGTTTGCAAAACAGGAAGATGTAATGATGAAAATTAAAAGAACCCATTGTCCTATCATCCAGAGATATAGTCTAGTAATATTTAGGTGTAATTAACTGCTAGTTTTCTATGCATAAACATACTATATTCTCCTCCTCCTCAACACTGAAAATTTTCTCTGTATTTGTATCCTGATTTTTTCAGTGAGAGCTTCATCTAAGATTCTTTCATTTTTCTCTTTGCACCAGTTTTTTTCCACCAAGTTCCAAAGATTCTTCACAGGTTTTTACAACTGTTAAATATTCTGTCACAAGAATATGTTGTATCTTAGTCATTCTTTTAGTGGGCATTTTTAGCTACTGTAAATAACGCTGATAAAAAGTATTATGATGTTTAATTTTACATGTAAATCTTGCATCTTTTTTTGGGTACGAATTACCAGTTATAGAATTATTTACTAGTCAAAGACTAGAAACATTTTGAAGACCCTTACATATGTCGTCAATACGTATCTTAATACATCTGCTTCTCTTCCTGCTGGAGAGGTTGTAACAATGTACTTTCCCTCTTTCACAGTGTAGTAACAAAAACATCACAGTGATACTAACCCTGACAATTTCCTATAATTGAAAAGAAATCCACTTTCGACTGCCTATAGGGTCAAGTTTATCATTTATTAAAACATCATTGTAGGGGGAGTAAGAGTAACTAAAATTCCAGTAATTTTCTGTGTGCTTACACATGCTGGGCACTGTGCCAGATGCTTTTTGTTTACTGCTATCAAACACCACTTGCTCAGAGTATAGGTGGCACCTCCTGTTGCCCTGTCTTTTGAGGCTGTGATGTGTTTGAGGACATATCTGATGTGTCCACACAGCTGCTTGCTGTTTGGTGAGGATTAGTACCTAAGTCTCTTAACTTCAAGTTGGGCACGTATTCATTTTACTATACCTTTTCTGCCTCAGTTGGCCAAAGTAGTCTTGTATGAATTCTGGTTTTGAGAGGCTCTAAAATGTATTCACAGCTTACCAATTTTTTAAAGTTCTGGTGAACTCCAAAGTCAGTAATCCTTCTGGACTCCTGTGTTATCAGAAGATATCTGAGCTCCTGCTTCTTGCCTGATGTGAACCTCCTTGAACCAAAGGTGAGACCAGCAGGGGAAGAATGGGACTAAACTGCTCATCTTCTCTTCCCCAAATTTGTTACTGCAGTTTGTCTGTCAAGGTTTAACTTAGGAGGCTAAAGATGGAGGATCACTTGAGAGCCCAGAAGTTAGAAATCAGCCTGGGCAACATAGTGAGACCCTTGTCTGAAAAAAAAAAAGTTTCAGAAAGTGCGTGCTGGATTTACAGGAGAAATACTATTTGGATGGTAAGCATCTTCAATCCAATACAAACCACGGTTGGAACTTAATCTCGAGTGTGTGTGTGCATGCGTGTATGTGTTTGGCAAGTTTTAGGAGTTAGGAGGCTTTATACTTTTATACTTGATCTTTTGCACAGTGCACTTTGAAAACTGGCTTTTGAATCTTTAGACCCTTAACACAGGTATTTATAGTAATTTAACGAGGACAATCTTTCGATGTCCCAAGCAAAAACTTTAAACTGTGTACATTAAACCTTACCTATCATCTTCTTTTTTTTTTTTTTTGAGATGGAGTTTCGCTCTTGTTGCCCAGGCTGGACTGCACTGGCAAGTGATCTCGGCTCACTGCAACCTCCGCCTCCCAGGATGAAGTAATTCTCCTGCCTCAGCCTCCCAAGCAGCTGGGATTATGGTGCACATCACCATGCCCAGCTAATTTTTATATTTTTAGTAGAGATGGGGTTTCATCATGTTAGCCAGGCTGGTCTTGAACTCCTGGCCTCAGGCAATCCACCCACCTCCGTCTCCCCCAAAAAATGATTTAAGGCTGTTATAGTTTCCCTTTATTTAAGAGAGGCCTGAGGTTCTTAGCTCAGGAGGGATTCATAGCATGTCTTAAGCCACACCAGTGTTTTTCAGGACACGCTAGGGTGGACTTGGCAACTAGCATAACATTGCACTGCTGTGCCTAACTTTTACCTCCGAGTGCCAGTGCGCTTATTTCCTGTGCTAGGATTACTTGTAATTTGGTCTCGGGGAAGTTTTCTGGGTGGGTGCGCTGCACAAATTCCCTTGTTATTGTTATGAGAATGCAGTGACCTCACTTGGATCCAGGACTCTGCCAACATTTAAAATCCTGCTCTTACGAAAGGTGAAACTCTTGCCTAAAGTTAAGTATCACAGCTTGATCCCATTACAATGAGATGGAAGCTCGTCTGGGCCCGGGAGCAGGCCAGCAACAGAAGTTTTAAAATCAGAACCTACCCCGCTGGGTCTAACCCTGTTCCTGGCCACCGCGCACCCTTCAGGAGCCTGGAAATCCTCTTTTGGCAGCGGACGGTGAGAGTGCTTGGAAATGCTCCGAGGAAAACGACTTTTAGAGGGGAATAGTGGGGAGCAGCCACCGGACACACTTGGCGTGGAACTGGGGCTGTGGGGTGGGTAGAGGGACAGTGAGGAGAACTCGTAGCTCATAATAGAAGATACAAAAGAAAGTGCCAACTAGTGAAAAAACTGCAAAAGGACGGGGGGAATGGGGGGAGGGCGTCTAAGGAACAGTGTAGAAAAATAGCAATTAGTACAGCTAAAAATAAAGACCAATTTAGAGACAAAGCCAGATCCACAAGGAGAAAAATAAAACTCGCCAGAAAGACAATTTCTTGCAAACCAAATGTTCAAGAAAATGGGGGCTAATGGCACCCCCGCTGGAGCTGCTCTGCAGAAGAAATGAAATAATAGGAGACCGTGGAGCGCGCAGCGCCCAGCAGGTGACGCCGTGGGGGCCCGAGTGGTCCTGCTTGTGGAGCCTGAAGGCCCTGCCGGAGGCTGTGCCCATGTGTCCCTAAAGTTACAGAAGAGTCCCGAGCGCGCGATGTGCGGGACAGGGCACCGCCCGGGGCTGGAGTGGTGGCGGTGTGGGGTTCCTGCAGAAATCTCTCAGGTCTCCCAGAGTCCTGGCGCGCGCGCGGCACTGCCGGGGAGAGGGCGCCCACCCGCGGCGGCTCGGCTAGCTTAGCGCACCCGCCCTGGGGACGCCCCACCCGCATTCGCTGGGCGGGAAGGGGCAGCGCTAACGAAGTCGGGGAGCAGCCAGGCCCCGGCAGGCGGGGATTCTGGGGTCGAGAGGCAAAGGCCACGGGCTGGGCCACGCTCGGACTCTGCAGAACCGCGAGGCCTCGGCTTCCCGGCCTGTGACCCGGGAGAGGACTCCGCCTGCCACCCCCGAAGTCGCGCTGAGAGCCCGAAGCGCGGTGAGCCAGCGGCGCCGTGCCGGTTTCTCCCCGGCTGCAGAAGGCGGGCGACCGCGATGAGTGCGGGAGCTCGAAGCTGGGCGGGGCGGGGCGGCCCGGGGCTGCATCTCCTGCGAGTGCCAGCGGCCCCGGGACGAGCTAACAGCCTCCGCTGGACTACTGAGGTCCTGGCGGCCCGGGCTCCCTCCGGGCCATTGCGCCCCATCCCCTGCACAGGGCAGGCTCCGGGCCATCAGGGGTCACCTGGGGTCGCTCTGCTCCGCCCGGGCACCCCGGGGCGGAACCGCGAGCCCCCACCAGCGGGGTCAGGCAGGGCGCTCGGAGCGCGCCACGCGGCGTCCGACTGGGAGGAGGGCGGCGGGCGGGGGCCGAGCGCTCCGGGGCGGTGCTGAGGCCGCTCCTCCTCCTCGCCCTCCTCCTCCTCCTCCTCCTCGCCTTCCTCCGGCTCAGCCGCCGCGCAGCCGGGCTGCTCCAGCTTCCTCCCCGGGCGCCCGCTGCGATGTTCAACCGCGCCGTGAGCCGGCTGAGCAGGAAGCGGCCACCGTCAGGTAAGCGGCTCCGGGGACCCGCGGGCTGGGGGTCGCGGCACCGTGTCGCCTGCCCGGCCTCCAGCCCTCCCTCCTGGGCTCGGGCGCGGCTCGGCTGTACCTCCCAGATGGGAGCCCCGGCCGACCGCCCCACTTCTCTCCTCTCTGTCCCGCACCTCCGCGGTCCCAGCCGCGACGGGAGCGCAGAGCTCCTCTGGGCGCCCCGGGGAGGAAGTTTGGCTGAAAGGGGAACAGCAGCAGTTTTCTTTTTGGTGATGGTCTGAGAGAAAAAGGAGCCCCAAACATCTCCAAACTTTGGAGGCGGCACGGGCTCCAGATTCCGAAAGCAGAACGGCGCGCGGGCTTTCCCCTCCCTGGCGCTCTCCGCCTCCGCTGCGGGCGTGGGTGGAAGGATGCCCGAGCGCCCGGGGAGCACGGCTGGACCTGGGCATCCGACTGGGCGACAGGGCCTGGGACGCCGGGGCTTCACTTCTGCCGCGAGGAGCCGAAAGGTGGGGTCGCGAGCGTGGCGGAAACCCAAGATGGGGAAGGGCACCTCTGCTGTACGTGCCAGCGAAGTTCTGACGTTACAAAGGATTCGCCTTTGCTGTCACTCCGGGCCAGCCTGAGCCACGATCTGGGGCAACTTGATAGGACAAAGGCCCCGCCGTGCAGGTGAAGTCATGCCCTTGATTCCGGTCCTCCTACCCTTTTTGCTCATCACAATAGCTACGACCTGTGCAGGTCTTCGGGTGCGCCAAGGGCTTTGTCCACCGCGTTCGGTGAACTCTCCCTTCATCCCTAGGACAACCCGGTGAGCGAGGAGGGAGCCGAAGCCAGGCGCTGTTAGGTGACTTGCCCCAGTCACACCCAGCAGGTGATGGGGAGGCCTTCAAACCCAGGTTCGCCTGACGCTGGAGTTCAGAGGCTTTCCCGGGCTTCCTACGCCAAGGTTCACTTCTGCTCAGAGTTTATACGCGTTGGTGCATTTCCTTTCTGCTCCTGATATTTTATGAGGGACATTGTGGTTTAGAGACTGGGACTGGACTGGCCGGATCCGAATCTCACCTTCACCATTATTGGCCAGCCGTGGGACCTCTCTGCAGAATGAGGGTCTGCAAAATGGGCATAACAGTAGCTACCCTCCTTTTCAGCACCTAAGTGGAGCCTCTCTCCCATCCATCAAGTTTTGCAAATAATTGCACTTAATATGTAGGATTTCATAGGGTTGTTGTAATTATCTTACATTGTTGCCCGGCAAGTAGTAAGTGCTCCATTAGCGTTAGTGGTCATATAAACCTTTCTGTGTTGCATGTGAGTCAAAGAATTCCCTTGTGGGTGTTAATGTTAACCATTCTCTATGGTTGGCACAGGCCTGTGGAGCCTGCTTAGAGCCGGGACTCGAATTAAACTCTTGATTCTAACCGTGACTCTGTCATTCAGCAACACTGGGCAAATTACTTGATCTCTCTGGGCCTCCGTTTCAATGATGTGCAGGAGCTGGCTCAAACTGGCTTGCAAGAGTCAGCTGCTAAATATTCAAGAAGTTTGGGAACTGGTTGTTAAACCATAGGTGGCTTGAAAGTAGTTATGATGGGATAGTTACATCATCAAAATCAACAAATGCTAAAAATGAAGGCTTCCCCTTGACTCAGGAGAGCTGATGTACCAGCACACCTCTGAATCACATTCTCCATCTGCAAAGTGGGTTTCATAGAGTTACGGGATTAAATACACAAAACCATATGAAACCCATAGTACAATGCGTGGGACATAATAGATGTTTAATAATTATTAGCTTTTCTCCCTTTTGCCTGTTATAAATAGAGCTGCTATGAATAGCCCTGTACATGTTACTTATTACTTTGACAAACAGAACTATTGACTCCTGGGAGATAAATGGATTTGGGGTGATTTTGCATGTATCCAGGTTGTACCCCAAAAAGACTGAAGGCAGTTTTAGGGAATAAATTGTTTCAGGGCAACAAATTTTAAGCCTTATATAATGTGGTTACATCACTGATAAAAAGGTCAGTCTCAGGCCGGCCGTGGTGGCTCACACCTGTGATCCCGGCATTTTGGGAAGCTGAGGCAGGAGAATTGCTTGAGCTCAGGAGTTCCAGATAAAACTGGGAAACACTCACGCCTATAATCCCAGCACTTTGGGAGGCCGAGGCGGGTGGATCACGAGGTCAAGAGATCGAGACCATCCTGGTCAACAAGGTGAAACCCTGTCTCTACTAACAAAAAATACAAAAATTAGCTGGGCATGGTGGTGCGCGCCTGTAGTCCCAGCTACTTGGGAGGTTGAGGCAGGAGAATTGCTTGAACCCAGAAGGCGGAGGTTTCGGTGAGCCGAGATTGTGCCATTGCACTCCAGTCTGGGTAACAACAGCGAAACTCCATCTCAAAACAAAAACAAAAACAAAAAAACCTGGGAAACATAACGAAACCCCATCTCTACAAAATATACAAAAGTTAGCCAGGCATGATGGCCCGTGTCTATAGTCTCAGCTCCTAAGAAGGCTGAGGAGGATTGAGTCTGGGAGGTTGAGGCTGCAGTGAGCTTGGATCGTGCCGCTGCGCTCCAGCCTGGGTGACAGAGTGAGACCCTGTCTCAAAACAAACAAACAAAGGAAAGAAAGAAAGGTCAGCCACTAAACATCATGGTTGGGTACTGGATGCCTCAACTCCAATAGCCTGATTTTCTTTGGAATTGTAGGTGTAAGGTCTGCCCCCATTATGGGAAATAACCTGAGTTCTTGCCTGATTGGTCATCACCACCCAGCTATCGAAAAGAAGCCTAATGAGAAAGGGGTTATTTTAGCCAGGCACAGTGGCTCATGCCTGTAATCCTAGCACTTCGGGAGGCTGACGCAGGCGGATCACCTGAGGTCAGGAGTTCAAGACCAGCCTGGCCAACATGGTGAAACCCTGTCTCTACTAAAATACAATAGTTAGCTGGGCATGATGGCAGGTGCCTGTAATTCCAGCTACTTGGGAGGCTGAGATGGGAGAATTGCTTGAACCTGGGAGACCATGGTTGCAGTGAGCTGAGATCGCGGCACTGCACTCCAGCCTGGACTGCTGAGCAAGACTCTGTCTTAAAAAAAAGAAAAGAAAAAAAGAGGCCGGGTGCAGTGGCTTAAGCCTGTAATCCCAGCACTTTGGGAGGCCAAGGCGGGTGGATCACGAGGTCAAGAGATCGAGACCATCCTGGTCATCATGGTAAAACCCCGTCTCTACTAAAAATACAAAAAATTAACTGGGCATAGTGGCGCATGCCTGTAATCCCAGCTACTCAGGAGGCTGAGGCAGGAGAATTGCCTGAACCCAGGAGGCGGAGGTTGCGGTGAGCCGAGATCGCGCCATTGCACTCCAGTCTGGGTAACAAGAGTGAAACTCTGTCTCAAAAAAAAAAAAGAAAAGAAAAAATGAAAGAAACGGGTCATTTGGGCCTGGGGGCAGAGGTACTAAGTCAAAAAGCCAGCCAAGTGATCCTTGGGATCCTGTACTGATTTCTTTTTTTTTTGTAATTTTGAATTATTTTTCTTTTATTTTCTTTCTTTTCTTTCCTTCCCTCCCTTCCTCCTTCCTTCCCTCTCTCCCTCTCTCCCTCTCTCCGTCTCTCTCTCTCCCTTTCTTTCTGTCTTTTTCTTTTTTTTTTTTTTGATGGAGTCTAGCTCTGTCATCCAGGCTGGAGTGGAGTGGCATGATGTTGGCTCACTGCAACCTCCACCTCCTGGGTTCAACCGATTCTCCCTCCTGAGCTTCCCAAGCAGCTGGGATTACAGGTGCCTGCCACCATGCCCAGCTAATTTTTTAATTTTTAGTAGAGACGGGGTTTCACTGTATTGGCCAGACTGGTCTCGAACTCCTGACCTCGGGGTCCGCTCACCTTGGCCTCCTAAAGTGCTGGGATTACAGGCATGAGCCGCCACCCCAACCTGAATTATTTTTCTTAAAGAGGCTCCTCAAATTCTACAAACTTCAGGCCCCATGAAAGCCGGAGCTGCCCCTGCAGGACCTCTGATTTGGAACTGGCTGTGGCTCTGCCTCCCCAGTACCTTCTGTTTAAATTGCACTGGAGACGCTGTCTTTCCGTGGAGGATTCTGAGTTCCTAACCCTCCTTCCAAGGTTCAGAGCGGTGTTTCCTCATTCTCCTTCCTGAGGTTTCTCAAAGTGTGTTCTGCCAGTCGTGTGGGTTCAGGAGGGGCTTGATAAAGTCCAGCTTCTCAGGCCTCACCGAGACCCACTGATTCTTCTTGGGTACTGTAGATGAGGCACGAGGGTAGGCTGCATCTTCAAAAAGCACCCTGGAGAATTCTCAGGCCAGTGAAATGTGAGGGTCCCCCAGAGAGATTCTGTCCACTCACCCTGCTTAGTTATCAACTTTGGATTGTTAATAACTGGGATATGCCCATCTGAGATGGGAAGCCAAAGCTACCCCACTCCCCACCCCTGCAGTGACCTCTCAGGGGAATTCCCACCCTGCCAGCCAGGCCTCAGCCATCCCCTTGGGCCTGTCATACAGGATCCCATTAAACCCTTGGGAACAGTTTGAAGTTTATGGCTGGGCTTGTTTTATTTAAAGATGACAGTTTGCATAGCGATTTTATGTCTTTGTTTTAACAACCCCTCAGCAGGGTAGCCTTGGCCGCTGGGGAAACTTTCTCTGCAGAACATCACCCGTCCAGGCCTGCAGGGACAGAGGGGCCAGGCCGAGGGGCATTGTTTTCTACAGGTGTGATCAGCGGTGAGCCAGCTGAGCCTCTGGGACCTGCTCTGGCCACCATCAAGCGCAGCCCATAGCCTGGAGGGTGTGAGGTGCTCACTGTGTTTTATCTGCCTTGGCTGATGTGTATTTGATCTGATGTCTCCTTTCTTCATGGTTGGAAATGTAGATGCCTAGCCAGATGCTTGGCATGGTCACTTCCTAGGGCTTCCTGGGTGAACAGTGTCACTTCCCTCCCTGGGTTGAGTGAGTCCCCAGACTCTGGACTCTAGGAACCTGCTGCTTAAACTGCACTAAATTTATGCCCCTGAATTTCTTCTGCTTCCCCCAGATAGCTCTCTGCTGCAGCAGCCCTGGGGGTGACGGCAGGAGCAGAGGGGCCCCCTTGGCAGGCAGCAGTAGTGGTCCCTTGATAAGAGCTGTCAGGCAGCATCCGCTGGAGTGAGACAGCCCTTTGCAGACTTGTGGGGACAAATTTCCCTTCCAAGCAAGTTCCTGTCTGTCTCGGGCCCTGCTAAGCACCCTCAGGTCTGCCTTGCTGCCCTGCTGCCTGGTGGGGGGCCCCTTATCTGACTGAGTCCTTCCCAGTCCCATTTTTCCTGCTCCCTACTCTACCCCTGAAGGGACTGGACAATACCCTTCTGTGCCTTTGCTCCCCTAGGTGTACTTTGTCCTGTCCCAAAGCCTGGGTCTCCCTGCTGCAGCAGCCCCACCCTTATAGGCCCCGCTGCCTCTCACACTCTGCACTTGACAGAGCAGCTTGCCCGAGCAGGAGGGAACCATTTCGTTACTCCCTGGAGAGCTGCAGAGGCCACTAAGGGGCAGGGACTTGTCCGGAGCCACCCATTTCAGAAGGGCCAGAGTAGAGAACTCAAGTCTTGGACCCAAGTCCACGGCTACCTACACACAACAGCCATTTAGAGTCTTTGCTAAAACGTGTTTAGAGAATGAATGTGGAGCTGATAACTTTCCTTCCTTCCTCCATCCATCTCTGTCTCCCTCCCTCCCTTTCTCCCATCCTTCTTTTCTCTGGTCAGGACATTAGAAACAAACAAAGCCATCATCAAACACCTTTATCATTTCACACAGAAGAGGACATTTTAACACACTCAACAGTAGGAAAGATATCATCTCAGGTACAGAGCTGTCCTGATCCAGAATCTTCT